TGACAAGAACCTCGGTTTAGCGGTCTCTAAACGCGAGTGGATCATTGAAAAATCACAGGACCTCCTAGCGGATCGGAATAATTATATTCCAATTACAGACATCCACGCTGGGCGTATCCTGCTTAAACAGCGAGACAAAATGCTCGAATTATGTGACGGAATGTTTTCTATTCCTAACCTAATCGAAGCAAGGCAGTTAGCCGAGTATTTCGGATATGCTCTAGGCTATCGGCACGAAATTCCTGAATGGAAGCGTGTCCCCACGAGCCTTAAAACGCTCATGGGCACTATCCCCGAATTTTACGGTATCCCCAAAATACATAAGGAGCCGGTTAAAATGCGGCCAATTGTACCTTGTCATAGTGCGATACAAAATCCGGCTGCCAAATTTGTCTCTAAAAAACTCAAACCGATATTAGACTCGGTGCCATGCCTCATTCGAGGAACCAAAGACTTGGCAATAAAATTGAGTGAGATCGCTCCCAAACTCAACCCGAAACGACGTCTCTACCTGGTAACAGGGGACGTCGTGGCATTCTACCCCAACATTCCACTTGGCAAGTGTCTCGGTATCGTTCTCGAGATGTTTGTAGAGCATTACTGTGGGGGTATGATTCCTCCTTCGGACTATTTACCTAAGCGTGGACCTGACGGGAACTTTATAGGCCATCCCGAGTGTACCAAGCGGTATTTTGAGTTCTTCCGAGAATGCCTTAATTTAGGCAACAGCGATCTTATCCTACGGTTTCAGGATCAAATATACCGTCAAGCTGGTGGTGTCGCAATGGGTGTCAGCGACTCGCCAGACTTGGCGAACCTCTTCGGATGGAATTACGAGAGGAAAAGTGGTATCCTGGACGACCCTGATGTCCCTTATTACGGTCGTTATATCGATGATATTTTCTATTTTTGCTACGCCAATTCTGAGCAGGAGGCGTTAGCACATGGAAATAAAGTTAAATTCGATAACTGTAGGATTGAGTGGTCCGCGTCATCCCAGTCTTGCGTTTTTCTGGACATGTTGATTTTTCTGGACGAGTCTAATCGACTTCAACATATGCCATATCGCAAGCCGCGGAACCACCTTGAACGTGTTCCATGGATCTCGAATCATCCTTTGGACGTCAAACGCGGTACGTTCATTGGCGAGATGTCTCGTTTAGCCACCTTGAGCAGCTCTCCGGAGCTGTATGGGAAAGCGTTGCAGGATTTGGTATCCCTGTATATAACGCGTGGTTATCCTGAGGACCTGGTTATGAACTGGCTTAAGAAACATGCCGTCGACCGTTGGAAAGACCGGCTTCGTGTGAAATCGCCGGAGGACACAGCCCTTGAAGGAGAGGTCCTCGTTCTTAAGTCAGTATTTAACCCGGCATGGAATTACTTCAACGCCACAGAGCTAGGAGACACAATCCTCGGCTATCTCAAGGAATGGTACAGGCGTGCCGATTCCTTGCAGTTCGATCCCGACTTTGCCGCGCCCAAGCACGAAGACTATGGGGACATTGAGAGTGCGCCTCTGACTGCGGTTGGAGGTGGTACGATCTCTGAAACCTTAGTCCCAATCGAGTTTGTGGATTTGCGGAGGATAGCCCCCCAATTTCTAGATAGAAGAGTCATCGTATCTCGTAAGAGAACGAAGAACCTCTTTGACTTAACAACTCTTTGGAAAAAGATTGTGTTGAAGCAGATGGACCGCGAGGTACCTGTAGTGCAAAATGTACTACCAAGAATCGACGACATCCGTATGGATGTTGGCGAGGGTACCTCAGCTCAAGGAAATCAACCCGCCGATGAGGATGAACGATTACGCGGAATGAACGCGTTTGATCGGTACCGCATTGAGCAAGGTAATTTTCGCGGCCCTACTCGAGACCCTGAGACTGATCGTCTTTACCTCGGACGCTTTGATTAGGATGGCGATTGTCGCTCCTGAATCGTGTTCGAACAATGGTATGAAACCTGTGATCGCGTGTGTTTACTGTGCTGAGCCGCGGGCCGGCTCTCGTACAGGTAGCCGCAGGATATAAGCACCCCCTGGCCACTTCGGTGCGACTAGGTGGTTAAGTAGATCAGGACCTACTCAGCAACCCGGCTCTGTCAGCCTAAGACAATCCGGTGGCTTACGTTTGGTCGTAAGGCCTCGGTTCTCTGAGCACAGTTGTTGACCTGGTCTTTGCAGATGGGGCATTGACCCAGTCTACATTCTCAAAGTATAGTCATCTCACTCTGTGGTGATAATAAAAATCGATGGACTCAAGGAAACCCTGTAAGTCTTACGTTCTGTACACGAACAGGCGGCTCATCGACCGCATGGTTAGAACCCTTACCCTAACCCGGACCCTAACCCTAACGTAAGCACTCTCCACTTAATCGTGGAAGCTCTGATTAACGTTCTAAACCGTTGGTGGTGGTAGCCTAACCCGAACCCTAACGGAACCCTAACCCAAACCTTACCCGTCCACCATATTGGACAAGGTATTCGCCGTGCGATATGTCATCCATTCTCGCGGTGTCGTGTGACTTGCGCGACTTAACTAGGTAAAGCCGTAACTCTTCTGGAAGTGGGGTCCCAGTCGAGGGCTGCTCCAATGTGGGCGGCTTGGCAACTCCTTCCTGGTTTCGTTGCAATAGTCACGTGACTCGTGGGAGTCCACCCCACGTGGCTGCGGAGACGGCCGTGGCTGGTCGGATAAAGCCGAACACAAGCTCGCATGGTGTGCGGGCCGTGGCCTTCCTTAATTGGGAGGTTGGTAACCGTTCTGATCGGCTACTGCGGACTCCGTGGTTCGCGGGGCGGGTGACATCATCAATCAAAGAATACTTTGGCGGCATCATCATGTGGTTCCCGGCAAGGGGAAACCTCGGAGTCGGCATGGCAAGCCGATATCACATGAACCCGGAACTTAACCGTGCCGGTATGCCGTTCGCACAGTATCGCTGACGCGTACAAGGTTTTATTTAGAACAACCAATCCCTTTCGAAGAATTACAGAGGTAAAGTTTCTCCGTAATTTGAAATGTCCCAGAAAGGTAGGGCCATTGTTCCTCGGCTGCTCGGCAGCCGACGGCATCGGCTCGGAGCTACGGGAAGTACTTCCGCTTAGTCGTGCACACTGACTTAGCGGCCCATCAAATTTCAAAATACTACGCAGACCTGAAGAGCATAAAATGCGAAACGGGTAGAGGCTTAGTTCCCCAGAGAACTAGCCCGTTGTCTGCTAGTTTCGCTAACTCTAGTCACTCTCCGACTCGCTGCGCTCGTCGTCGAGTGCCTCCCTAACCCTAACCCTAACGGAACCCTAACCCAAACCTTAACCGTCCACCATATTGGACAAGGTATTCGCCGTGCGATATGTCATCCACTCTCGCGGTGTCGTGTGACTTGCGCGACTTAACTAGGTAAAGCCGTAACTCTTCTGGAAGTGGGGTCCCAGTCGAGGGCTGCTCCAATGTGGGCGGCTTGGCAACTCCTTCCTGGTTTCGTTGCAATGGTCACGTGACTCGTGGGAGTCCACCCCACGTGGCTGCGGAGACTGCCGTGGCTGGTCGGATAAAACCGAACACAAGCTCGCGTGGTGTGCGGGCCGTGGCCTTCCTTAAATGGGAGGTTGGTAACCTTTCTGATCGGCTACTGCGGACTCCGTGGTTCGCGGGGCGGGTGACATCATCAATCAAAGAATGCCTTGGCGGCATCATCATGTGGTTCCCGGCAAGGGGAAACCTCGGAGTCGGCATGGCAAGCCGATATCACATGAACCCGGAACTTAACCGTGCCGGTATGCCGTTCGCACAGTATCGCTGACGCGTACAAGGTTTTATTTAGAACAACCAATCCCTTTCGAAGAATTACAGAGGTAAAGTTTCTCCGCAATTTGAAATGTCCCAGAAAGGTAGGGCCATTGTTCCTCGGCTGCTCGGCAGCCGACGGCATCGGCTCGGAGCTACGGGAAGTACTTCCGCTTAGTCGTGCACACTGACTTAGCGGCCCGTCAAATTTCAAAATACTACGCAGACCTGAAGAGCATAAAATGCGAAACGGGTAGAGGCTTAGTTCCCCAGAGAACTAGCCCGTTGTCTGCTAGTTTCGCTTACTCTAGTCACTCTCCGACTCGCTGCGCTCGTCGTCGAGTGCCTCCCTAACCCTAACCCTGTTGACTCTCATGCTGCAGCTTCCGGGCAAGGCTGTTCCCCCGCTGGCCTTCCAGGAGGGACACCCGGGAGACACAAGATGGTGCTGGCACAGCTGCTACGGTGAAGATGAATTATCTTTCCCACCCCAAAAAAGGCAGCTCCTCTGAACTGCTTCCCCTTCCTTTGAGGTCTTCCCCGTATCACCTTGACCTTACTCACATGCAATATAGCAATTGTAAAATCAGGCCGCAAAGCCTCATGCATGCCACATTGCATCAGTTTACTAGGGATGGGAATGAGTCATGGGGTGGGAAAGACAATTTGTCTCCACTGTGCCACGCGAGGCCCCTCCCCGCCGGCCTTCCAGGAAGGACAGCCAAGGTGTCAGAGCGAGGAGGCAGACTTACTTACACTAGCCATGTCCTCAGAGCCTGGTTTGGATGCTGCACGCCAACCCTTGGCCACTCACCAACCAGGGTTGTGCCAACCCTTGCTGTCTCTCCCTCCCCCTAGGGTGGCTCCCCAGGGCCCTAGGGTTGCTTTTCGACCCTAGGTGGTCTCATAACCCTAAGGGGTGCTAGGGGGTGCTATGGCCGGGCATGGGTGAGCACCTAAGGCTCATCGCTTTATTGTCCAGTGTAACCCATCATATGCCCCCCCCCCCAAGCTATGGGGAAAATCAAGTAAATACTGGTATTTTCTTTATTTCCTGCCACATCCTGCCACATCCTGCCAGAGCCCTTTGGGCCTGCCAGCCGGCATTGCCACTGCCGGCAGCTGGCATGGCAGGGTGGCACGGCACTGCCAACCACATTAGTACTGCTCCAGCTAAATTGCGGCAAATGCAGTGACCAACCATCAACGACACACCAGTAAAACAGAGGCGGATATATATGAGGTTCTTCGCTCATGCTGATTAATGTAAGTACAGAGAGGAAAACAATGCTGTAGATATACAATGATAGCCATTCAGTCTAACAGCCACACAGCCGAGCCACTCAAGGCAATAAACGGGCAAAAACAAACACAACGTATGTGGAACATAACAGAGAACGGTCCAAACAAACATGTATAATCCTCGTCATGACCGATGCAGAGCTCTCCGCGCCTCCTCTCCCGCTCTCCGTGCGCTAGCGAGCGACGGTCTGATCGCGCTCGTACTCGGCTGCTTCTTCAGTGTCGTCGGACCTGCGCCTTTTCCGCCCGCAGCTTGGGCTAAGTTTACCGTGGCGACGCGGAGCAAATTGTTGCTCTGTCGCCGACTCGAGGTGACCTTGAGCTTAGGCGCTGCGAGTGCGGCGGAGCTCGAGACCGCTCGGGTGATGGCTCCCCGGTCCTTCTCTGTCTTCTTAAGGAATGGACTAGGAAGATTCTCTTCGTCGGAAAAGTCATACTGGGGCGGTGAAGACGTCGTTCGTGAGATCGTGCGTACGCGTGTCGTCGGCGGGTCGTTACTTCTCTTCGTGGGTAGTGCCGGTTCGGACGTGGAGGCGGGGACGACGGTGCATGTCGAGGAGGTAGCCGAGTTGATCGCCCCGGTAGTGTTTGACGAGACGGGCGGGAAGTTTGCTGGGGTGAGCGTGGACCTGCGTATCGACGGCCTGCGAAGTCTCGTAGGCGGGGCAGCCAGTGTCTCGGTAGAGCTGCACGGGCTTATCCTAGCTGCACTCTCCCTGCGCGCGCTCTCCCGCCTGGCGGACGGCGACATCGGCTCGTCGTCTGCCTCCGCTTCGCTCTCCTCGGAGTCCACATGCACCTGGATGTCGCCACCGTGCACCGTACCGTCCGAGTCGGAGTCGTCGTCGCCGTCGAAGATCTGGCTGAAGTTGAGCCCGACCTTTGGACTCTGGACGAACAGCTTCGCAAGCTCGGAGGGCGCAGGCGTGGCGATGGGCTGACCGGTCTCGGTGAGGATGACGCCCTTCATCGCCGAAGGGGGAGCAAAGTCTTCGAGGAGGGAGTTTTCGGGGAGGATTTTGGTGGACTGACTGACGGGCGTCTCGATGGGCGGGAATTCGTGCCAGTACGCGTCGCGCATTGGGGTGCGGTCTTCGTGCTGCGGCAGACGCGACAATGGCGCGAGGATGTTCTTGACCTCCTCGAACGGTGTCTTATCGCGGCGCTCTGTACGTTCATGAGACCCCATCCACGAACCGTAACGTAACCGAGCTCACCTTTCCTTGTCTTCGTCCGGTCCCTCTCCTCCAGCGCCTTGATCCTGCCCTCCAGCTCCTCCCGAATGCCCGCGAGGCGCTCCTTCTCCTCCCTGAGCTCCTTCTCCCGCTCCGCCATCCACCTCATCCTCTCCTCAACAGCTTGCGCCGCCTCCTGCCGGATCTGCGCCTCCCGCGCGCGCCACGCCTCATTGATCTCCTCCTGCCTCCGGCGGATGGCGCCCATGATCTCCTCCTCGCGCTTCTGCATCTTCTCCGCGACCTCGACCTCGCGCTTTAGCACGAGCGCGCGCAGCTCCTCCTCGCGCTTCGCAACGGCCTCGCGGACGGCGGCAGCGACGGCGCTCTGGGCACGGGCGAGCTCGGCGTCCTTCTGCGCGAGTTTGGATTCGCGCTCTTTGAGCAGGGCTTCGCGGGCGTAGACTTCGCGCTCCTTGGCTGCGGCGGAGGCCTTATGCATTTTTATTTGGGCGATCCTACAAAGAATAGGAGGTGAGTGGAGAGCGCAAATGAGAAGGTGGGACACGTACATCTTTTCGGTCTCGGAGACTTTGAGCGCAAAGTCGATACGTTCGTGTTGCAGGAGTTGGGCGGCGGAGGGGCGCATCGCGGGCTGTAGGGTTCGTATCAGCTCGTGTCCCTCACACGATAGTGCGCCGCACTTACGTTCAGCGTGAGCATGGCCTTGACGACCTGCGTCAACGCGGGGCTGTACTGTCGGGGTAGTGGCGGGATACGACCGTTTCTGCAAGGGTACTTGAGTGAGCCTCGTACCCCGCTCAAGGCCACTGGCACACCCACCTGATGCATACACTGAGTTCGGCGTGGGTCTTGGCTTCGTGGAAGGGAGGGTGGAGGGCGCAGAGTTCGAAGATGAGGCAGCCGAGGGACCAGATGTCGGATTTGGAGTCGTAGGCGCGTTCTTGCATGAGCTCGGGGGACATGTAGTAGGGAGTCTGGGGCGGAGAGTGAGAACGAAGATAAAGAACGTGATGTAAGTAAGAGACGCACGCCCACGTAGGTATTCGCAAAGCTGGGCTGCGCGAGGGCTTTTGCCAGGCCAAAGTCGCCCAGCTTCACGGTGTTCATCTCGGAAAGAAAGACTGTGGCCACGTTTATATCAACAGTGCTGCGGGAGTCAACATGACGTACCATTATCCGGCTTCAAGTCCCGATGCAGAATCTGCGGTCTCCGCTCCCTCCCGTCCTCCGCGGGGCCGCCGCTGCTGGCGCGGCCGTGTCCATTCGGGTGGTGGCAGTAATGCAGCGCGCGCAGGATCTGCATAAAGTAGCTCCATATCGTGTCTTCGGGGATGGATCGGTTCTGCTTGACGGCCTGCTTGATGACAGTGGAGAGGTCGCCGCCGGAGCAGTACTCCATGAGGATGTAGAGGATGCCGGAGTCGTGGTCGATGTAGCGGTCGTGGTAGCGGACGATGTGCTCGTGGTGGAGGTCCTTGAGGATGTTGCTGGAGGCGTGCTCGAGCTGAGTAGACGGAAAGGAGACAGGAGCGACTCACACTTCTGCGACGATTTGCTTCTTATCACGCTCGCTCATGCGCTCGAACTTGAGCTCTTTCCTTGCAAAGATCTGCTCGCGAGTCAGCTCAGGCCGCAGAGAGTCGATGCCACAACACGCACCATGCCGTCCGACTTGCGCTTGACTTTCCGGATGATTCCAAACGAGCCATTGCCGATGATATCCAGGCTTTCGTAGAGGTCCAAATGCGACGCCATCGTTTGTCGGGGTCGCCAGGGTATCCGCTTGAGAAAAGGTATAAAGAAAGTTGCCGCGGGTCTCGCAGCTGTGTGCGGCGTTGTTGATCGCGGATGGCGGGAATGTTTCACAAAGTCACGCGTGCTCCCGAACGCGCAAATCACGTGGCCGTGATCGCCGTCACCGAACGCGCTGTCGCGAGGCGTCACGCGTAACCCTTCATTGCACTGCGACGCGCTCGGGTGGCTGGACGCTGCAGCGATGTATATCAAAACCCTGACAATCCAGGGATTCAAGTCTTGTGCGATTTTCTCTGTTTTCGCCGATTCAGTCTCAGCTGAGCTTCCGTTTAGATCGAGACCAGACGCAGATAGAGCCGTTCTCTCCGAGGCACAACGTCGTGGTCGGACGAAATGGGTCGGGAAAGAGTAACTTTTTTGCTGGTGAGTCTTGCGTCCTGCCCCATCTGTGCAATTTACAACGTCCGTGTGGGTGTGCAGCGATTCGGTTTGTGCTCTCGGATGCGTACACATCCATGTCAAGGGAGGAGCGTCAGTCACTACTTCACGAGGGCGTTTCTACAACTACCACTCTTTCCGCGTACGGTCCGTAGTCCGTTCCATCCCATCAAACCTACCGACGTGACCCATTCATGTACTCCATTCAGTCGAGATCGTATTTGACAACAGTGACAACCGCTTCCCCACCGGCAGAGAAGAGGTCATCATCCGGCGTACGATCGGTCTGAAGAAAGACGAGTACAGCTTGGACAAGAAAAGCGTCAGCAAGGCGGACGTCATGAATCTTCTCGAGAGCGCCGGCTTCAGCAAGTCCAACCCCTACTACATCGTGCCCCAGGGCCGGGTAAGATTCGCTTCTCTCTCACTCACCATACACCCTACTCATTCCGCATCTATCCGCCACAGATAACTGCACTGACGAATGCAAAAGACCACGAGCGCCTCGCCCTCCTCAAAGAAGTCGCCGGCACCAAAGTCTACGAGCAGCGGCGCACCGAGTCCCTGCGCATCATGGCCGAGACCGACGCCAAGCGCTCCAAGATCTCCGAGCTCCTCGACTACATCAACTCCCGCCTGACCGAGCTCGAGGAGGAGAAGGAGGAGCTGAAGGAGTTCCAGGAAAAAGACAAGGAGCGGCGCTGCCTCGAGTACGCGGTCTACCAGCGCGAGCTCGAGGAGGTTGCCGAGGCGCTCGAGGAGATCGAGGAGGAGCGCAAGGCGGAGGTGCACGGCGCCAATCAGCGCCGGGAGCAGTTCAATGTCCGGGAGAAAGAAATAAAGGTGTGTATCGTCCCTATTCGCCCGAGCGCCTGCTGATCTGCTCCATAGAATATCGAGCGAGAGATGTCAGAAGCAAAGCACACGCTCTCTACCGTGACCCTCACCCGTCAGGGCGTACAGTCGGAGCTGAACGACCTCTACCGCGCACGCACCGAGCTCGAGTGCGTCGTCGAAGACCTTCGCACCGCCTCCGAGTCTTCCGGCGGCAAAAAGGAAGAGACCGAAGAGGAGCTCGCCCGCATCGAGGCGCTCATCGCGCAGAAGGAAGAGGCGCTCGCGTCCCTCGTCCCGCGGTGGGAGGAAAAGAAGGAGCAAGAGCGCCACGAGAAGCGCCTATTCGACGAGGCGCGCACGAAGCTCGACGCGCTCAACGCGAAGCGTGGCCGGTTGAATCGCTTCAGGACGAAAGCCGAGCGGGACGCGTTCCTCAAGAAAGACATCGCGTCGATCGACAACTACCGCCGGACGCACGAGGCAGCGCTCGAGGCGTCCCGCGCGGGCCTTGCGGCGGTGCAGCAGTCCATGCAGGAAGTCGAGGCGCGGGCGCAAGCGGCGCAGGAGCGCGTCGAGGATGGCAGACGGCGCACGGTCGAGCTCGAAGGGGAGATCGGTAAGCTCAAGGATCAACATGGGGACCTTGTGGAGCGGCGGAAAGAGCTTTGGCGAGAGGATACTAAGCTCGAGACGCTCCTCCGGCACGCACAGGAGGAGCTGAGGTCGGCGGAGCGGGACCTTGCGAGTATGATGGACAAGGTAATTGTCTTTTGCTTGCGATGTACGATCGCACTGACTGAGACCTCAGGACACCGGGATGGGACTGCGTGCCATAGATAGGATCGCGGAGAGGCATGGTCTGGACGGCGTCCATGGCCCGCTGTACCGCCTTTTCGATATCCCGGACGACAAGCTCAATACCGCCGTAGAGCTGACTGCTGGCAACAGGTGAGCAGACACCAGATGCTCGGTGTTCGCTGAATCAAAGCTGACGTCCTCGCAGTTTGTTTCACGTCGTAGTCGACAGCGACGCCACTGCGTCAAAGGTCCTCGACATAATGCTCCGCGAGAAGACCGGTCGAGTCACGTTCATGCCCCTCAACCGTCTCAAGCCGAAGAACCCACCACTGCCCAGCGCGCAGGATGCGATCCCGCTCATCGAGAAGCTCCGATACGACAGCGCCTACGAGAAGGCCTTCCAGCAGGTGTTTGGGAAGACGTGCGTCTGCCGCGACCTCACCATCGCGGCGGCGTACGTCAAGAGCCACAACATCAACACTATCACTCTGGACGGAGACAAGGTCGATCGCAAGGGTGCTCTGACGGGCGGGTACCACGACGTGCGCCGGTCTCGCATCGAAGCCATCAAGAGTGTCACGGAGTGGAGGGGCAAGTTCGAAACCCACGATAAGCGCTCCAAGGAGGTCCGGGCGACGATTTTGCAGCTCGACCAGCAGATTACGCAAATGTGGGGCAGAATACAGGTACTGCAGAATCAGCACACTCAGGCGAGGGAGGCGAGGGAGGCCCTGGCGAGTGAACTGGCCGCTCTGAGTCAAGAGAAGAGGAGGCTCGCGGAGCGGGCGACCAAACTCGAGAGTGAAATCGAAGATGGGGTCACAGAGCTGACTGGTCTGCAGGCGAAGCTAGATGGGTATAGGGCTGAGTTGGCCAGCCCGATGGCGGCAGGTTTGACCGATGAAGAGGAGGAGGTGATCGCTTCCCTTGTCAAAGAGGTCGAGGTTCGCCAAAAGCGACTGGCGGACTTGAAGAAAGAGCGAAGCACGGTCAGTAGACATTACACATTTTTACCTTTGGATTCGATTGATTGATCCTTCTTAGCTTGGGAGCAGTAAGGAGCTTATCGAGATTGAACTCGAGGAGAAGTTACGCAGGCGAAGGGAGGAGCTGAGGGAGAAGCTTCAGTTGCATGGTGATGCGGACCTAGGGGTCGAGTCTTCGGCAGACAACCTCCACGCGCGGGAGCGAGAATTGCGCGCTCTGAATGCTTCCATCGACAGTCTGGTGAAGCGCACTGAAGGTTCGTGCGAACTTCCTTCGTCCTTTGGATTATTAAAGTTGAACCCCCACACCACCACCAGACCTCGACAAAGAGGCGGAAGAGCTTAATAAACGCCTACAGAAGCTACGAGCTGACCTCGAAAAAGTCCAAAGCCAACAGCAAGAAGACGGTAAAGGCATCTCGAAGCAGCAGAAGAGCACGGAGCGATACCTCGCGAAACGCCAGATGCTTATCGGGCGCAAAGAGGAATGCAACCGCAATATCCGGGACCTGGGTGTCTTGCCAGAAGAAGCGTTCGAAAAATATACCAATGAGAAGCTGGATCGTGTACGTCCGACATACTGACTCCCAGCTCGTCACTCACGTAAGACCTGCTCCAGCTTGTCAAGAAACTTCACGCCGTGAACCAAGGCTTAAAGAAGTTTGCTCATGTGAACAAGAAGGCTTTTGAGCAGTACAATAACTTCACAAAGCAACGTGACCAGCTACTTCAGAGACGCGAAGACTTGGACAAGTCAGCGGAGTCCATCCAGGATCTGGTACAGGTCCTTGATCAACGCAAGGACGAAGCCATAGAACGTACGTTCAAGCAAGTGGCAAGCAACTTTGAAGAAGTATTTGAACAACTTGTACCGGCCGGTCGGGGTAAATTAATCATTCAAAGGCGCATCGATAGGGTATTTCTCTTGGCTTTCGTGCTGCGCCCGATTATCTCATGTCATTGCAGGATGAAGATGGCGCTGAAGATGATGCCGAGGACACGCAGCAGAGTAGCGTTGATAACTATACAGGTGTCTCCATTAAGGTACGGTTTTGATGGTGCGCTCGGAAAGGCACGGTCTAAAGTCATGTGTTCAGGTCTCTTTCAATTCCAAAGTCGACGAAGGTCTGCGTATCCAGCAGTTGTCTGGTGGGCAGAAGTCTCTCGTAGCGCTCGCGACAGGTGCGCCAGAATTGCCTCTCCCCCGCACCGTACTGACCGTGCGTGGCTGCAGTCTTCGCTATTCAGAAGTGTGACCCGGCACCCTTCTATCTTTTCGACGAGGTTAGCTGTGTCCTCCCACATGCGGCGGTATATCATCTGACGGTACCTTCGCAGATCGATGCTAACCTTGATGCTCAATACCGGACTGCGGTTGCGTGTACGTCCTTGTGCCATCCTATATGACTGAGTTAATTACAACGTCTCCACAGCTATGATCCAATCTTTGGCGTCGACAGCCCAGTTCATCACGACGACCTTCAGGCCCGAGATGCTCGTCACCGCTGATAAATTTTACGGCGTGCTGTTCAATAACCAAAAGGTCAGCTCAATACGAAGCATCAAGCGTGAAGAAGCAATGGAATTCGTAGAGCAGGTGGGTACCCACCGACTTGCTAGATACTCCGAACGCTGCTGACTAGCGACGTCTTTTTCAGGAGGCCCAAGCTCAGTAGTCATGTCACGCTACGTTCTACCGCGTTTTACCTTGCCCTTGGGATCTAGGTGTTCAGTGTTCGTCGCTGCTCTATTTAATAGAAGCTGTATCATTATACCCCATGTTGTATAGTAGGACTATCTACTTGTAATTGTAATCTTTCTCGACTTTTATTTGAGACAACACACACGGATCCGGAGCCATCCTTCTATAGCAAGAGGACCTGCCCCATTCAAAAAAACAAGGCAAACGGTCGCTTGAGATGAAACATAAATACGGGGGTGGAATGTGCCCCTGGCGAGGCTGTGGAGAGCACTGTATCTCCTTTCGAGAACATATGTCGGGTGAGTTCTCCGTCCAGTGAATGCCTCAAGGATTTCCTGGAAATGCGGTACGAATCTCCATGACCTGCGACCCTGCAAGGACCATTAGTACGCGCCTCGAAATCACAGCGTCGGGATGTTCACGTACTAGTCAGCGGACATCCTACTCCGAATACTTCCATAGCCGCGAGAATGGTGGTGAGCGTGGCAACAACTCTATCTCGGCTGAATCCCTGAGGCCGTCTCTGAGGAGGCAATGTCGGTATAACCGCCATATAGTGGATCACGTCCTGGCATGCCAGATAACACAATGTCTTCAACCGTGGTCAGTCATGCTCCATCATGTTGGCATTGACATTTACTGCTCACCCCAAGAAGTGCACTAACCGGGGGTAGTCGTACTAGGTCGACTCGTTGTAGTGCTAACGCGACCCGTTCCACTGCATTCAGACATTTGGTAAATGATTCCCCGTTCTCCGTGATGAAGCGCGAGTGCACTCGAACAATGGCGAGCTGAGCGAGAATCTGCGCCATCAAGCAGCAGCGAGGGTCAATCGACAAGGCCTGTAGGGCGTCTAAGGGGAACATCGTCCGGGCAAATTCTTCCGCACGAGCCTCCAAGGTTAAGTATTCCGTTTGCGCGGCAGCATCTGCAATCAATGTCCAGGCGCTTGACTGTGACGAGTATGCGAAGATGCGCTTACCGATGGGACGCCACGTGAATTGAGAGGCCCGTTCGAAGAGGACAGCAGCTTGGGTGAGACAAGCCAAGGAAGAGCCGCCGCCGGTTGGTGTACTCACGTCCCCCTCGAGGAACCTTTGTATGGTGCGAGAGTATCGTACTCCTGCTGGCACGAGATTCTAAAGACGATGTCAGGACCGACATAGTACCAAGTCAAGAAAGGTGCCGACCTCTTCATATTCAGCAACTTCCCAAGGCCAAGGAGTATCTATCTGTGATATAGCGTTCTCTACGGTGCCGGTCGTCGAAGGCAAGTTCAGTGCTGCCGCCCACGCTTTATCCATGACCAGCACCATCCAGAACCCATTGATCCGCTCTCCCTCCTCAATAGCGTCCTGCGCGGGGGGAAGTGCAAGTGTGAACTCATTGGGTACGACGTCGTTCAGACTGTGTATTTTATTGAGGCGGTAACCCATGGTTAGTGATACCGCAGCGCTGGTGTGGTACCTTGCCTCTACGATACTTCCGGTGTAGAAGAGATAGTGTGCGAGGATCACCTCTGCTTGAACGGCCTGCATGACTTGGTTTGGGCGCAGATTTGAGAGTACGAGGCCAAGCTGGCTCCGGACGCGAGCGAGGAACACCGTCTCCCGGGCTCGGATTTCGTCGGACCGGGAGAGACGTATACCTACCAAGTATACGGCGGTCATGAGAGCAGGGAGGGGGCGGTTCTCTTGCCCCAGAGTAGACACAAGCACAGTAGAGCTCATAAATCGGCGCGGATCCAGGAAGAATCCGAATTGTGTCGCGTGTGGAAGGAAGGTTTCCAGACTTGGAAAATGTTTCAGAAGTCAGTATCTCGAAATACTAGAGTCTGTTGCGTGTCAGGGGGCGTACAGAGAACGGGCGATGTGCCTGGGAGGTTCGTCGTAATCCCACCATCCTGAACCAGTAGTGACGCCTGCCTGCACAGCGGGTGGATTAACCCCTGCATAGTAAGGGTACTGCCCGGCAGCTGCAAGACATAGCTCAGTTAATAAATAAACGGCCCATTAGCAGATGGTCCTCACCTCTCGTTGCATCTGGTAAGACACCACCAGTAGCTTCCATCCGTAACCCTTGAGTACTGGAAGCGACATGAGCCCGAGCGCCAGGAGCATGAGGGTCATGAAGGGTCACCGACGTTGAAGGCTGGCCCGGATTCTCAAGTTCCTCAATGCGCGCCTCGAGCTCTGAGATCGTGTCCTGCAGCATTTGCGTTCGAGTGCGTCCGCCGTCTGCATACTCGCAGTCTTCCTCTCGTCCGGCTCTCTCGCATTGACCGCAGACGGGTCGAGCGCCGTCGCATTTCTTTTGAGATAATCAGTGAAGATAATACAGCATATAAGAGAGAGTCTAACCATTTTACGCTTCCTTTAATCCCAGAGGTGAGATGGCGGTGAGGAGAGGAAGGTGACTCGTACTTACCTGCAATTCAAGCAGGCTTTCCCCCTCTGAAGCGGAGCAGTAGAAGATCCCTGAGAAGAGGTTTCGGCGTTCGCGTTAGCCATGAGACTTGCTGTTGTGATCTTTCGATGACAGTTAACTGACCTGTCAACTTTAGAGCAGCGCCCTATATACTGTGGTCTCGCCCTGCAATTGTGATTTGATGGCGTATTCTGATACAATCTGCTCTACAACGGCTCTGCACAAGCAAATTTCATTTCCGAATTGCACGTTTCAACCGCCGTCCAAGGGACGAGTCAATTGCCCGTTCACTTACTCGCCCCACTACACGATGCGTTGGCAATGAGCAAGCCGAGGCGGGTCATCATCGTACCAAGCAAGCGTATTGACTCACCAGGTATCGTGACCTGTATTAGCAAGTCCAGACAATGTAGCGTAGCGCTTGGTACGGACGGGGAAGCATCGAAACGCGCTTATTCATTGGTGCAAGGATCCAACCGCGTCTCGGCGACTGCACCCAACTCACCGCGAATATTAAGTTCTAACCAATGAGAGCATGCGCACAGCCACGCCACCAAACTTAGAAATCCTGATGCCAAAGAAAGCTATGATGTCAGATTATTCAGCAACTTAGCGCGCTTTGGCGAATCGCGTCCCGCCGGGACGCGTTCACGCTCTCACCGTAGATCACCGTGCGCTTGCGTAAAGGCCGGGCGGGCTCGTAACGGAGTCCTTGGAATAGACGACCAGAAAGATCCTACACCGTCCGGACGAGACGGTTGGCTCCAAAGTTGTGGGGAAGTTGGGCGGCTTTGCTTCAAGTTTCGACTCTGGGGGTACAGAATTCGGAATTCGCTGTATATTGAGGTCAGTCCGGCCGAGAACGGCCCCCGTACCTCGTCATTACTGAGGGTCGAGTCATCCACCTGGAATACGCGTCAATGGCGAACGATTCTGCTCACCAGCATGCCATAATTTGAGACACGGTTACCGGGCCCCTGGTCTTACTCAGCTCGGAAATTAGAGTTCGTGTCTCAGGTAGACGCACACCCAACAGATCTACGCGCCGGCGGCGCCCAGGTAGAGCCGGTGGACGCTACCGTCGGCCTCGCAGAAGCCTATGACGGGGTATAGGTCGGCAAGTCCTCCGCGGGTGTCCATGGATGATGTGCACGCAGCAGGAAAATACTTTGGCTGTGTTTGTATTCAACGAAAGGGAGTACCGGGGGAGTGTATCGACCGTCGCCAAGCGCTGCGGGTGGTGATTGCGAGCAGTCAAGACGAGCCAATCGAGCGAAGAGGTTCTGGGCTCGCAGGAAACACAGTCAATTGGGGTTGCAGTGCAGCGCCGACTGAGCTCGCAGACGCTCCGGCAAGTCAGAAAGTGTAGAGTGAATGAGAGACGAATGGGACAGCTAAGAACCCGCCAGATCGCGTGGGTGTAAATGACGAGCCGGTCATGGCTGAGGTAGAGGGGGGCAAGGGGATTCCAGAGAGAAAATGCGGTTGCCGAGAGCCTGCGTGTGAGCCTTTCGGAGGGGCTCGTACACACTCGTCGCTCGAGAGCGGCGTAGTGCACAGTCATGCGCTATGGCAGGCATGGCGTCCAAGCGCCAAGCAGATTACAATGAACAACGCACGGTTTGTTGAACGAGCGCATAATCTGACGAGACACGACGCAGACCACGGACCATCTGCACTGGAGCGATTTGAGAACCTGGCTCAGCATCGATGGATATCTAGAGCCACCAGCGACCGCAGGGTGGCCAAGAATCATCATTTTGAACAACACGAAGGAAGCCATGGCTGCGAGACACCCGATCGCCCTTCTTGTCCGGCGGGGTGTCGTAGATATACATGCAGTCCCCGATGATGTTGTGACAGAACCATATCGTCCCCCGCGCAGGCCTCATGCGCGCGCTTGAACGCCATCGAGACAGCCAGTGCGCCAAAGCTTGCACGAATGGCGTAGAAGTGAACGGCTGCGATCCCTACTATGATGAGAACGCGAAGGACGGAGGAAGATCTTGCGTTATATAACGCAGCCTGCGTACCCCGCCGACGCGTCCCGCCCGCACAGCATAATACTTACCTGATGTACGAGTGCGGTTGACGCTCCGAGGATGATTGCGACGAGCTTGATGCGGCGGAGTTCGCACCGTACGCGGAGTCTAGTATATCAGCAGCATCTAACAACTGGGATCCAAACTCGCCATGGACGTGGACCCAGGGCGGGATGACTTGCGCTATATTACATGCCCTAATCAGCGCTAGCCCATGATGTCCACAAGTCCTGGGCCTCCCCCGGTACGATTGCTCGGGTATGGCGGAGACGGCGGGACGCGGGGTTGAGGGACGATCTTCGGCAGTGAGATATACGAGGGATTGGCGGCGCGCGTGGTGTGTGAGAGGCAGCATTGCGCGGAGATGGTAGCGGAGGAAGGCTCGATGCAAGCGAGGCAAGCGGGGAAGATGGGGATGGAGTACCAGATATCATGGGATGCTCTGACAGCTGGTACGATACGGGAGCGAATGTCAGAGGGGATCTTTGTATGCTTGGAAGCAGATGGCCGCGACACGGAATAGACGTTCCATCCATGGTCCCACTCACGAATACCGATAGTCTCGAGATCCAACAATTTATATGACCACATCTACCGATACACGATCGCAAGACTTCAAACCAATATGTAAACGCTACAAACCTCGATACAACTCAGACACTCATCTTCATCGCGATGCTCGGGTACGGATCGTAGCCCTCCACGATCACATCCTCCGCTACAAAATCATCTATACTCTGCACCTCCCTCCTCCACCTCAGCTTCGGGAACGGCCGCGGCTCGCGTTCCAGCTGCACCTTGAGCGCGTCGACGTGGTCCTTGTACACGTGCGCGTCGCCGAGCTGGATGACGAGCTCGTGCGGCTCGGTGTGCGTGACGTGGGCGACCATGTGCGTGAGGAGGGCGTAGGAGGCGATGTTGAAGGGGATGCCGAGGCCGAGGTCGGCGGAGCGCTGGTACATGAGGCAGGAGAGCTTGGGCTTGTCCTCGGGGGTCTGGGGGAGGTGGACGTAGAACTGGCAGAGCATGTGGCACGGCGGGAGGGCCATCAGCGGGATGTCTATTGAAAGGCGTGAGTGGACATGCAGGCATCACAGACGGGCTGAACACACCCGCGGGATTCCAGGCGCTGAGGATGATACGTCGGTCCGTCGGGTCCTCCTTGATCTTGCGTATGCACTCGGCGAGCTGGTCCACGCCCTGCCCGCTATAATCCGCATCGCAGTCGGCATACCGCGCCCCAAAATGCCGCCACTGGAAGCCATACACGGGGCCCAGGTCGCCCTCCCTCCGATGCCCGAGCCCGCGCTTCGCGAGGAAGTCCTGCGAGCCGTTTCCGTCCCAGATCTTCACGCCCTGCGCGGAGAGCAGCTGCGAGTCGGTGCTGCCCTTGATGAACCAAAGAAGCTCGGCGACGATGCCGCGGAGGAAGGTGCGCTTGGTGGTGAGCAGGGGGAAGGTGCTGTCCGCGAGGGAGAAGCGCAGCGGCGGCGGCGCGAAGAGCGAGTACGTGCCCGTGCCGGTTCGGTCCGGTCTCGGTGCGCCGGTCTCGATGACGGACTTTATGAGGTTGAGGTACTGCTCTTCTTCGTGCTGTGGTATCATCGTACACATTTTCGTCATCTGTCGCGGTACGCGTCCAAGTGAAAACGCTAATGGAACGCGCGACGCGTGACAGAACGTGACTCTTCGCGATTTCCCACGTATTGTTGTCGATCCGGTGGCGATCGCTCTGCATTCCTCTTTGTACAAACCGGGACCAGCAGTTCCTCTTGCTTTTGTTTGCATTTCTGGCCAGGAACGGGGAGTGTAGCCTCGGGGAAATCGCCGGATAGGCGGCGTATGGCCAGCCACCGTCAAATAGTTCATGCTGAGAGCGTCGTCCGAGTCTGCTGGTCCAGTTTACTCGGATCGGGATACAAGGACCTACAATGTTGGCGGCACTCCACTCACGGAGACACTCGCCTTTCGCAGACCTTTTGTCTCATTCCCTTGACAACATCCCACCGGACAATAGACTCCTGGCGCTCGGCGTCGGCCAACCATAACTCGTGCCGCCCGACAATAGCCCGGCGGCGACCTCACTCTCGGTGCCGCGAGCGCAGGCGGATTGCTTGTCTTTAAAGATCGTCCGTATGAATGGATGCGCACATAGACAGGTTAGCGGGCCATCCTGTCTCGTATTTTATTCTCTCCGCTCAGCTTAGACTAGCCCGACATGTCTGTCATGACGCTCCAAGGCCAGCCCGGCCGACCCACCGTGCGTCTGCCCCCACCCTCCGCTCGCTCACACTCACTTTGCACCCAGCCGAAGAGCAGCCAGAGCAACAAACTCCGACTATACCTCCTCTTCTACCGCTCGCCCGACCACGCCAAGTTCCACGCCGCGCTCACCATCGCGCCGAAAAAGCCCGACCCGGCAAAGGTGCAGACCCTGCGCTTCCGCGCGGGCGAGAGCAAGCAGGTGGTCAACTACGACCAGAGGATGGTCGCCGCGGTGCTGCTGTGCAAGCTCGACCCGGACGTGACCGGCGTCGGGCTGTCCATGCTCCTGTCGAGGGAGGTGCCGGTGTATGATAGCGGCGGCGGCGGTGGTGGGAGGCAGTGGGTGTGCGATGCGATAAATGTGAGGGGAATACTCCAGCGGTATGAACAAAACACTGATATATCCTCCCCCAGCTTCTCGTTGACCGAAAGGTTATCCCCGCGCTCCCGCTGAGCGTCCACTCCCTTTGGGAGAAAGGATATCACTTCGCCGAGAGCGTCGAAGAGGATGAAGATCGACAAGTTCCTACGTGCGACGTCTACGGCGCCAGGATTCGCTCCGAGTTGTCAAGAATATCATAACGACGTGACGCACACGACGCGCCATGAAACGACTGTCGGGCGAGCGTCGCTACCTCCGATTTCCACGGCGGCGACCCATCTATATCACGCATGCGATTCAAGACCCCGGACCTCCACGACTGGAATAATGGTTCACGACATTTATGGTATTTATGACGATCACGTCTCAGGTCTGCCGTGCAGGGCGCGGTCAGAGCTGATGTATCTTGTGATTATTTATGGCTGTATCCCTAGCAATATTTATCTATCTATCCATGTATCACGACCTGGCATGTTTGTACGTATATACACTCTGTGTAGAGGGTAGACCCCTTGGGTACACCTCTTACTCAGTCCGGATCCGCCACCAGCACTTCGAGAAATCACAAGTGCAGCAGCACGCCAGCGCGGCAACTCCCGGTCCATGGCTTCCCTCAGCGCGATCGCCATCGCGCTCGCACTCCTCCTCCCGGTCCTCCTCCTCCGCCGCCACTTCTCCAAAACTACGTCTGCACACGCCTCTGCCGCCCCGCAGTCCCGAGGCGACGACGAGAAGCCAAAGACGATCATGCAGCCGCCGCGCGAAGACCTCGCACCGCCGAAGGACGACCCGTACACGCTCGAGCAGCTGAAAGCGTTCGACGGGTCCGACCCGTCCAAGCCCATCTACGTCTCCATCAAAGGTGCGCTCCTCCCCCTAACCCTAAATGTGTCCACCGCCTGAGCAGCGGGGCAGGCACGGTCTTCGACGTGACGCACAAGAAGGACGTGTACGGCCCGGGCAAGTCGTACCACATCTTCGCGGGCAAGGACGGGAGCAGGGGCCTGGGCATGTCGAGCCTCAACGCGGAGGACGCGGTCCCGGACTACAGCGCCCTGCCCGAGAACGAGATGAAGGTCCTCGACGACTGGCACAGCTTCTTCTCGTGCGTATCAGCGTCATTGTCCCCTGCGAGCGTGTCGTGCTGACGTGCACATAGGAAGCGGTATAATATTGTCGGGAAGGTTGTGGATCTGCCAGAGGCTGTGGCGCCCAAGTTGTAGAATTCTCTCTCTCTCTGTCCTTTGTATTCGTACCTCGACCGTGCTGTCGCAGCCACCGTTTCCTAATCCAGCTATTCCGTCTGACCTAATGCAGCCTCGGTTTTGTTTCCGCACCTCCCGCTCCTTGACCCTTATGGCTGTTATTATCGTGCAAGCCGCTCACACTCCCTCAGCCCCAGCGAAGCCTCCCTGAAGGATGGCGCAAGCGGCCGCTCCCTCCATACGCTATTCCGTCAGCGCAGAACCTGAGCGGCAGGCAGGACATCCAGCTGCTCATCATCCAG